ATCATTTTCCTGATTATCGGTAGGAATTCCATCCCGAGACCAGTCATCGATGGTAGGTGAGCTCCAAACTGCTGCTACCCATGGAATAACTCACATTTTCCAAGTTAGGTCGAAATATCAGATTCGGCTAGAAACTTGTCCCCAGGGGTAATTTGACCCGCTGAACACGAATATCATGGTATTATATTGCAAAAACCCTTGTGACATGTGCTACGGGGGGGACAAGCACAAGCACTCTTTCAGGCCATAATGGGTCTACACTTTCGAAAAAAACTGGTCGCAGTTTCCTTACAGGATAGTGCAGGCGAGCAGAGATGTTAGAAGCTTTGTCGGCCATGTTCTTGGACAAATGCAAAAAAAACGCCCTGCCGAGAACCGATCCTACGACGTCTCGCCTAGTAAACCCGCTCGCTATCCGTTGCGCTCTACTGCCACGTTTCAAGTGGACTCCATACGTATATGTAAAGACGCTTCCACGTTTCCTCGCGATAGCATGTGAAACAGCCACGCGGGGATAAAACCCTCCATAACTCCGTTCAGAGAGTCGTTCCGCAAATTCTGAAGGTAGATTCGAGTTCACCGTCCCAAGACTCGTACAACGGTGTGCACCTCATTGGAAATGGCCGGGCTGACCTGTTGACCTTTCCTGGTGAGAACGGACCAATATCCTAATGTCTGTAATTTTGGCCCAAAATGAAAACTGTTTTTTCTAAGGGGACCCGTGAATGCTGCAGGTGTTCTGGACCCAAGGCGTTCATACTTTGAGCCGGCTCGGGTCGTCGCGTATCGTCGCGCTTCCGTTGCAGTAGTGCTTCTGCGGACCTTCTTATTTTATGATGCCAACTCACACTGGCACACTGTGTAAAGGTCTACCATCCTCTTTCAAAACACCAACGGCCGGTGCCGATCAACACCCCTCCAGTATTTTAGCGCTATTGCAACGGCAGCATGAAGACCCGTACCGACACGCACGTAGCGCCACCGCGAAGTCTAAAACCAGCATAAACGATTCAGGCTCTTTTCAGGACCAGCACTGAGCTCATTTTCTTCATATTGGATGCTTAAGACTGGAAATAACTCAGAAAAGTGTTCACCTCTTGGCACCCATATTGCAGCAAGAAACTGGCCAGGAATGCAGTAAGGAAGGAACAATGCGTCAAAAAGGCAGCCTAGTCCTACTTAATGATCAGATGCTAAGACTAAGACGTCATAAACTTTTAAATGAATTTAACAAAGCCGGGATTTTGTAAAAGTCACTCACATTATCCAGTTGATCGAAATAGTTAGCATATTGAGGTCCTCAGCAGTGTCGTCTACAGCTACTCCTTCATCGAAGCTTAACTCGGAAAGCAGAGTTTTCTTAACTCGAATTCTCGGCTTGTCATACGAGGATGGAATAGGCAGCGAACTCCACACCTATAAGTTCACCGGAAATTTTACTTCTGTGTCCTGGACAGGTACACTAAGAATTACTATGCTACAAGAATGACCTTGATGATCTTCTCCACTCCACAAGAAGAAATTATTCTATTGCTTGGGCTATATCTCACATGGTTGACTATGGACCGGTGACCTTTTAGGACGAACGTAGCTTCGGAGACATTTTCATTCACATCTGAAACGACTTCTAAATAGGTGGATCCAAAGAGTAGGAACAGTTGAACTGACATCTATGCAAAACTGCCACTCCCGCCGTTTGTGGGGAGAGTGAGTGGCTAGTGTGTACAGCAGAAAAACAAGATCAATACCCTCTGCTCAGCCGCTTTCAGATACAAAAAACTTCAGCTTACGGGCAGGATGACGAATGGAGGGAAAGACCTATAGAAGCAATCACAAAAGGAGAAATCAGAGCAAGTTACCAACAGGGCTGATGAAAATGCTGAATGAAAGGAAGAAAATGGAATGGCGGATCATAGCGAAGGGTCGCGTTAATACGCAACGTAGTTAAAGAATAGAAGAAATCTACGGAATAGGGAGAATCGGCAAGGAAGACAAGATAGAAATTGACATACTCTAGTTCGCCATTGATGAACGGAGCGTATCTGGCAGTATGAGTGTGCCACGGTGCCAAACCCATTCTCTGTCACTTGTTGAAGCGGGTATGCGACAACAGTCGGCAAAGAATGAGTGATACGAACGATATGATATAGCCTTGTCACTCGCTCCTTTCAACAACTGGTGGCATCGCGCCAAGCTCATTCCGCCTTCGCCCTCAGCGAAATCGACTACGATTTCGCGCAACTTTCATGCGTTTCCGAGAATTATAATATAGACTTTATAGAAACGCGTGACTAAGTTAAACAGCAAAAAGGGTGCGGAAGGAATCCATTTCTTCAGAAACACCTTATAGCTACAGAATTAGCGAAACCGACTCGTATCTGGTTTTTTTTCAGGGATTTTTCTAGTCTGCGATTCTCCCCATTCCGCGATTCCCTGACTATCGTTTTGATATGAACAGACTTACAAGGGAAGGATACCAACTCGTCCTGGCCATTCAGAATGAGATGTATATTCCTAGGAGCGTCTCCGGATACTGATATCAGATCTGACTTCCAAATCTGCTAAACGATTCTGGGTGGAGAGTTACGGACCTTTTTTGCTACCGTGCTTAACCATTGCGGTGCGACCCTGCCCATGCTTTGCGGGGCGTCGTAAACATCCCTCGTCGACGCCAGCCGTCGCCGTGGCTCGTGACGCGCAGGTTAAGGTGAATAGCGCTTTTCATAGTAAAGTCGAGACGGAGGTTCGGATGCTTGAAGGGCATTTGATAGTTTTGCTTTTTCTTGAAACGCATGCTAAACACTTGGGAAGTAGTTTTGCGTACCTGTCCGACCACCAAGACCCCCTCCCTGCTACTTATTAGGGCCTATGTGCGACTTTTCAGGGGTTTTATTTTAACTTCAGTGAAAGCATTCATTTTGATGGTGTTGGCGTGACAGCTTCATTCGAGGCATATATTTTCGTATTTAATGGGAAACATCAAAGGCTTGGTCCACGATCAGGAATAAAGTTGGAAATATGGTGTCGCGAGGGTAGTGGTCCGCAAGGAACAACCTTGTACTGGTTTATGGCGAAAAAATTGTTAGGGAGGGTGGTATAACGAAATATGGCTCCAAAGAGAACACTCCTTTACCAGTGGCTCGGTCTCCAGACCTCTGCCTTCAAGACCCATCATCCAATGGAACAACGAAGCTGCAGTACGAAAAAGTATGAAAATCGTAAGCTCACTTGTAAGGTCGTAGAGTTCTTATAGTGAATAAGCTGTGTGGATGAGGGCGTAGTAGGAGATGGAGCTCACTGGGCACGTACAAGTGGCTTGAAATGGGGTTCTATCTAAGTTGTAAGGCGGGTGACGAGTTTTTTTTCTGCCTTTTTTCATTACCGAGAGTTACACAGCTCTAGTTTATGCGAACCCCTAATGCACCTATTCTGTTGATTGCATTTTATCGCAGGTGTGCCTTTGGAGCGAGCAGCCAGTGGTGATATCGTCAGTAGCAAAAAATGGTTAGAGCAAAAAGTTCTTCACAGTGTGAGCTGCGAATAAAAAGAATTTCGCTGCAACCATTATTCTCACAGATTCCCTCCAGATGATATGTAATGCAATATTGGAGAGAACTCTCGAACTCGTCTGGATGAGTGTCAAGGTAACCTGCTGAATACCAGGATTAAGAAAGAAATTGTTCAAATCTAGATGCTCTGAAGGGATTCATCGTTATCTTCAGATGCCCAGAAAGGATCCGTATGTTCGTCCTCCACGAAGCTATCTCCCTCGCAGTCGATTATACGGTTGTAGTACAGTGCGTCGCGCACAATAGGATAGAAACTCTCTGCAATCTTCTTTTCTTTGCGGGATAGTGATCAAACAATATCGCAAGACCCGAATTCTTTCACTAGGTGTGATAGCACCAGAGTCCGGCAGAACATTTCCAACTATGGTGGACAGGTCGCAAAGATGTTGGCTGATATTGTGGGCGTGAGTGAAGAGAGCTACCAGAGATGACGAATTCTTTCGTTGGCCACACACGTTGTCATCCTATAGGATGATGAACAGTTCACGAGCTCCAAGCAGATATGCATGTGTATTTGGTCCCTTGCTTGAGCTAGTTAGGCAAAAGTGTAAGTTTCCACGAAAATCGTTCGCGGGGCTCAATAAGTAGCAGGGAGGGGGTCTTGGTGGTCGGACAGGTACGCAAAACTACTTCCCAAGTGTTTAGCATGCGTTTCAAGAAAAAGCAAAACTACGAAATGCATCAAGGATTTGAACCTCCGTCTCACTACTATGAAGCCATCCACTTACCTGCTGCGCCATCGAGCCACGGCGGCGGCTGGGTCACGAGGGGTTTACGAGCGCAAAGCATGGGCAGGGGTCGCACCGCAATGGTTAAGCACGGTAGCAAAAAAGGTCCGTAACTCTCCACCCAGAATCGTTTAGCAGATTTGGAAGTCAGATCTGATATCAGCATCCGGAGACGCTCCTAGGAGTATACATCTCATTCTGAATGGCCAGGACGAGTTGGTATCCTTCCCTTGTAAGAAAATTTCGATGGATTCTACGTACCGCCAAGCAATGTATGTTGTAGTCTGACCATGAGTGTCACAAGATTCATGGCCCAAGTCGCAGAAATAGTCAGACGTTGGCTCCAAGAAAGAAGGGGCAGCAGGGGAGCACTAACGATGGATGACAATAGGGATAACAATTGCTTAGATTCGTCAGAAAACGCTAGAAGGGGAAAGTCACCGAATTCATAGCGCGGGTCAGGGTAGCAGTGAGGTGTTGGCCTCAAGATAACGTAGGGATTGGACAGGAACATTACTGATTTGTGACGCGGAGTGATAGCAGCCTAGTAGTTTCTATTAAAGGCGTTAGAATGGGGACAGTCGCCAGATTCATAGCGTTCTCCCCAAGCTAATTAGGAACTAGTGATAAACAGAGTGGGATGGTGACATTGTGGGTGGGCTTATTCCCTTGTACTGCGCGCGACAGCATTGAGTAGCCGAAGTGGAATACGTACAAACTGGAACCAATACTTGCCTTGGGCCGGAGATGGCAATCGCCATGCATATATATTGAAGTCATCACTTCCAGTCATCACCATACCATCATCCATAAATGTCACAGACTTGATCGTGTGAACGTTACTGTACTCAGGATCCTTCAGTTCAACACGCCGGCGCTCAGTAAGCTGAAGCTAGTAATAAACAATCCAGTCAAAACTCAATTAAGAAGAAAAGTTATTTCCAACATTATGAAAAGTCATTCTGAAGGGCAAGCGACAGACACCCACCCCCCTCCCCCCTACCAGAAGGCGCAGTGGGGCGAAGCTGATGTATAATAGTAAGCAGTCCGCTTACGCAGCACGGAGATGAAACTCAAGTCGGCTCCTTCCCGCGTCAACGGAGTCATTTCAATCCTTTTTCAAAGGCATTTGGCACGATAATTTGGTACTCGGCCTAAAATGCCAGCAGGGTGCTTTATATGAGAAAATGGCGAAAAAACGAAGGTGAAGTAAAAAAAACCTGCGAAGAAAAGCCTTCGTCCTTGATGATTCAAAAATGTAATTTCAGACGAGAATCCCGTAGGCATCTTGATAGTATCCGCTACGTAAGTACGGCCTGCACGCATCCCATAAATCCATGTAGCAGCGCGGCCGCTTCATACCAATCCCTTCGCTTCGAATTCTACTTAACAAATGAAGCAATGCGAGCATCAGGTACGGTCGTCCATTTGTGGGCGGGCGGGCGCGGTGGGCGTTTGGGTCGGTATGTTGTAGCTTGATAGGGCCTTATAAGGGTGCCTTCCTTGGAAAGGCGTTACGCAGTACTTGCTCAGGGTCGCGGAATCCCGCCCTGCCAGGCTTACTAATCCTACTCGTCTTAGGGATTCATCGTGCCCACTGTCTTTAAAGACAGCCCCGCGCTCAAGTAGTACATGGTCATCCTTCCTTGTGCAAGTAGTACAGCCCCCAAGCTAGATACTATCCCACTCTCGCGACTCCACAGCGAGCGAGAACGCTCAGTTGGACCGCCTCACTTGCTAGATGCCCTCTGACGGAGGAGCCGCTCAGTTGTTCTTTGTTGGGGCGGCGGGCATTAATCGGCGTTCATGTCCTTTTCGCTGACCACGCTCGTGCCCATGAATAATTCTGCTTTCCTTTATTACATTTTATTCATTAGCAGCACATACAGTCAACTTCATCCCATCTCGCAAGGTAAAACGCGTAAAAATCACGAGCGACCCAATTTTCGTGGTGCAAAAGCTCGACGCACTAAACACACTAAAAGATGCACGCTACCGTAACCCTTAATTCGGACGCCGAGTTTTTAAAGTTTATTTTCCTTTTCAAGAGTTTTTCTTCCGTGTTTTTGTTGTTTTCCGTATTCTTTTTTTGCATTGGATGATATCCATTACTGGGAGATGTGATAAAGGGATTTGTGAGCCAGGGGTTGCACATGACCGCAGGGCTGTGTGACTGACAGGGAGCGATTCTTGTTTATGGTGTTCTTGAGAACTCTTCTTGCTTTTTCTCTTCTTTGGAGAATTACTTATCAGCTACTGTTTCATAATTGAAAAGCAACTATCCATGACACTTTTATCGCGGGAGCTGTCTTTAACGGGACGGACCAATTGGTGCTATACTCATCTGCGAGAGTAAAAACACTGATCAGCCGCCCCTGCAAGTTATCGCATAGACCATATGGCATTCGAATGCTCATGGGATTCAGAGTAGAAGTAGAACGCGTGCCTCATTTCAAAACGGACTGATCAACTTTATCCCTTACTCTTTTATCCGCCGACTGCCTGCATGGTAAGAAGCAAAACCAACCGTCCACGGTAATTTGGCCGATGATTTCGATAAGGGAAGCCAAAAGACTACCAGGTAACAAAGACTGATGGGATATGAGGGAGGGTTCAGCTCCACTTTTGTTTTACTTTATCAAACCGATTAACCATGAGCTACCATTACCAGCGACACATTACTACCAGAAAATTCCTCGGATAAAATGAATAATATATTCACATACATCTATAAAGACTGGATTCGAGTGCGATTGCAAGGCGGTAAGAGCAGTGCCAGTCGAGTTCCATTCCACATAGATGGCTTCACTGACGAATGTTCTCAGATCAAGTAGAGGCCTGAAAAATCAAACAAGCATGAGTCGACCTTCGTATAATTCGTAGCGAAACCACAGAGAAGAAGAACATATCGTACTTCTTACGATTCCGAAGATCATACAGACGTACACCTCGATTAGATGCTGTGGCAAAGAAAAGTGCATTGGCAGGATTGTACTGGCCACGAAAAAGTTGACCTGAAGGTGCAGGGTACTTTCATTCATGAAGGTGACATTCCGTGAAGAAAAGAATTCACCTTCATCAATAAGACAGAAGGAACCTTCTTTATTTTCTCTACGATCGTAAAAAGATACCACTCCCCCTTCTCGGGAGGCTGCTACGATATTGATGTCAATTGGCTGAACAAGTAATTGATTGTGATGTTCTCTGGTAACAAAGAGGAGCTGAAAGAAGAAGCGCAAAAAACAGGAAAGATCGGCGAGGGAAGAGAAGGAGGGAAGAAAAATAAGAGAACTAAACGGTTGATCACAGCACAGGCCAACAATTAAGAGTGGCATAGCTATTAGGTAAAAGACTGAGCTTTCCATGTTTTCAGAAAACTATAGTAAAGTCGAAAATGGTGAATCACCAACTAAATAAGTAGTTATTTTCTTTAATGACTGAGTTAAAATCACATTAGCTCCAAAACCTGCAACTTTTCAGACCTAAGCTTGATTAAAACTGCGTTCAGACTTCGCGATCCTACCGCCCAGGCGATCAGCTGGCGCGACCATCGAGATCGCTTCACCGCAACGCGGTGCACGCAACGCCAAAATTCAAACTGGGCCGCGTTCACACAGTGCAAGTTCAGCTGTGCCGTCGCGGCGGTGCAGAGTTTGGTGGCATAGCGCTCGCCTGCCGTGGTCGCGCGATCCAATCGCTCTAGCGATCTGACTGTGAAGTCTGAATGCGGTCTCAGAATAAGTATTCCGGTGTAGAAGTTTTTCTGCCGAACTGCGTCAAGAATGGACGCAGAACATTTATGGATCCACCGAAATTACAAGTTCCTTTACCAACTTACATTAGCTGATATGCTATATACGGGATGGCGCTCTTCATAAACGCTTAGCGATCTGCGCGTGGCGACATCGTGACGTAGCACCACACCATCATTGCCACCAGAAAACAGCTCAGCGCCACTTAACAAAAAAATGCACATATGTTCAGGAATTTACATAAAGAGTAATAGTAAGTTAAAAGTCAAACTCGAGAGAAAATTGGTAGCAGAAAATGTTTGAATTATGCCCCCGCTCCATGATGACGGCAGGTTTTGGTGCTTCTTCCAACATAAGATCTGAGACGTGCCAGACGAACACCCGCATGTCGTCGCCACCTACAAATTCTTTTTTAATTTCAAGGGATGTTTCCGAGAGAACATAATGATGGTGATGAAGCTGTCAACATAACCAACCACTTGCTAACATATCCTCCGTTTTGTTGAATTCTACAGCATTCACACAGCCAGTGTGTCCAAGAACATCTTTCTGGTGCACTACGCCTGCCTTCCTTGCTCCGATGCGGAAAACGTCGTTCTAAATTGAAATGTTGCTCATATTTGCTGGTAAACCCTCATTCATTGACAGCCCTTAACATTCATGAAAAGGATAAAGTCTTCGCCGTTGACCAATACGTTTGTGGGATGCGGCACGCATTCTACACTGCGTCCCATAAGTATAGTTCCACCCATAAATCTAGCAATATCCCGCCCTACACGACGTTTTCAAAAAAGCCTCTAGATAGAAAATGTGGTAATTACCAGTGCCAGTTTGCATGCCAACATCGAGAACTAACTTTCCAGAGCAACTTCAATTTTCTTCATTTTTTGAAAATTTCTCACTTTGACAATGTCCCAAAAGTATAGTTCCACCGCATATTTTCCCACTGCGTCTCATTTTTTTTCGGGTAAAACTGTCTCATCATTACTTTCACCTTTTCCAAGTTATGGCGAGAGGACATTAATTGTCAGAAAAATGGCCAAGTTATCCGCATGAACGCTCAAACGGACTGCTCCAACCCTGCAAATCGCATGGGAATTGGACAAGCTCTGGGCGTCCTCCTTTGCTCTCTGATCGGGAAAAGCGCCGTACTTTGAGAGAAGCATCAAATTCTACAGTGTCGTGCCGGTAAGTAAAGTCAACTTTGAAGCTTACGTCTCAGAGGAAACTGTTCGGCGTGTCTTAAAAAAGTCCGAGTTCATTCTCAGGAGGAAAATGAGGAAGGCACCGTTCCTGACAGAACACCATCGCGAAAACCGAATTGCCTTCGCTAGAAGATGCTGCCGAACCGAATGGAGTACGGTTAGCTTATGGCAGTGGTGCCCTACTGCTTGTCTGTCTTGTCTTTTCAGTTTTTTTTCTCCAGGTCGTGTTTTCTGATGAGAAAAAAATTCAACTGCGACGGTCCAGACGGAAATCGGTCCTACTGGCACGATCTTAGGAAAGAGAAGCTTCATTTTTCCAGGCGGAACTTCAGAGGGGGTGGTGTCATGGTCTGGGCTGCCTTCACATCAACGGGACGTTTGAAGCTGTGCTTCGTATCGAAGAAAATGAATTCTTCCGACTATGTAAACGTCATGCGACGAGGTCTGCTTCCTTTCTGGCGAAGGATTCGGCATGAAAGTCCTGTTTTCATGCAAGACAATGCACCAGTTCATGTCAGCCGGAGCACTCGAGCGTGA